CGCCAGCCCCGCCCACGGCGTGTCCGTCGGGCGCCGCGGACCCCCACTTGAGCTCAGGGCACCCACCGCCTGCAGGTTCCGAGGGGCCCCTGGGGGGCGTGGGACACCTGAGAGACGGAGGCCCCAGGGCTGCGCTTGTCCCCTGTCCCCGCTGGGACGTGGGGCGCCGCGACTTCCTCGTGCCCTGCCTCCTCCCAGCTCAGGATCTGGTGGGGGCCGAGGTAAGGTCGGCCCCGAGGAGTCGCTCGGAGAGAAGAGGGGTTCGCTGTGTGGGCCGAGGGTCGCAGGCGGGGCGCCAGAGGATGCACTGACCAGGGCGCGCAGGGGCGCGGCGGGGTCCGCTCCGCGGAGGGCGCGGGGGCGCAGGGGCGGAAACGCCGGGTCAGGCACAGGCTCCGCCTCTGAGCTCAGACTGTCCCAGAGCGAGGCCAAGGCGCGCGAAAGCCAGTGCCCAGACTTCCCCGGGGCTAGCTTTGCGGGAACTGAGGCAGTGGCCCGGGTTCTGGGGCTCGGGGGCACCTCTGCACCCCAGTTCCTCTGTCTCCGGGCCCCTCTCTTCTCCTGTGGTCCCCGCTAGGCCCTCGGTACTACTGTGGTTCCCTGCCCCTCGCTCTTGACCCCTCGTCTTCCCCTCTCAGCCCCGTGGGAATCCGCGCACCCTCGGGGCCTGTAGCGAAGGTGCTGGGTCCCACTTGGCCGCCTGCACCCTGGAGGCCTCGACCTGGCGGCCTGGAAGATTTGCTGGGGGCCTGTGCGTGGGAACCCAAACTCTCCCCAGGGGCATAGAGAAGGGATTGATTCCAGCGTGGCCTCCCCCCAGGGGGCAATTGGGGTGCTTTCTCACTTTCTCTGTCTCTAGCACATATACCCTAACAGGTAGCAGAGCAGTTATGTCACTGGACTTCCACATGATTGTGGTTCGAGTCCCGGACTCGGTGACTTGAAAATCACTCTGGGCACATGGTCATGCATGCCCAAGATTCCAGGAGGAGAGTGGAGAAGAAGGGATTGCAGTGTGGCCCCCGAGCCGGGCGGCCCGTGGTGCCGTCACAGCCACTGGAGGGCACGGCCTGCCCCCGAGCCTGGGACGTGGAGCAGGGGAGAGAGCTGGTTGCTGGAAGCCGGCAGTCGGGCCTTTGGTGAGAGCAGCGCGGATACTCTAACTGCCAGCTGTAATGTAAGCAAAAGTGAAACGGTGTTCCAGAGACATTTTTTTCTATAAGTTGAAGAAAAAAAAGAAATGCTGAATTTTTGCTTATAGGCATAAAATATATGCACTGACATATTTTAAATAATTGTTTATTTAATCTTATTTAGTATTGTTGTTTAATTTTGCTATAGGGCACACATGCTCACCAGAGAGAGAGAGAAAGGGCTGCCATGTGTGGGGCTCAAACTGCAGTGGGCCACATGGGAACCCAGCGCCCTTAACCACCATGCCACCTGCCGGCAACAATACATTTTCTTTTCTTCTTTTTTTTCAGAGGTGTTTGCTATAGGGTGCATGCGCTAGCCAGAAAGAGAGAGAGACAGAGAGACAGAAAGTGAGAATTCACCCCCTGGGGGGATGGCCACGCCACAATCCCTTCTCCTCCATTCTCCTCTCGGGATCTTGGGCACGCACGCACACGTGCCCAGTATGAGTTTAAGCCACCGGGTCCGGGACTTGAACCACGGTCGACTACATGGGAGTCCAGAGACATAGCCGTTATGCTGATAGTCCCAACATATTTTTTTTTTTTTGTAGAGGTTTTCGCTATAGGGCGCATGCGCTCACCAGACAGACAGAGAGAGACATAGAGACGGAAAGCAAGAAATCACCCCCCAGGGGGGATGACCATGCCGCAATCCCTTCTTCATTCTCCTCTCGGGATCTTGGGCACGCACGCACGCACATGCGCCCAGCGTGAGTTTTAAGCCACTGGGTCCAGGACGTGAACCACAGTCGACTACGTGGGAGTCCAGCGACATAGCCATGACGCTAACTGCTGGTTCCCCCAACACATTTTTAAAATGAGGCATATGATGATTAAAATGTGCTTCCCTACGAGTTCCCAAGTGCTGCTGGGACAGAGAACCACTGTGAGACCCTGGGCTGTGGGGCAGCGTGCAGGTGGGGAGGGATGACGTGAAGACGACAGGTCAAAGACCGAAAAACGGAATGACGGGCATTTCTGTGCAGGCCAGTGTAGTCAGCCATGTGCTCTGACTCACAGGGCTCAGCCTTTGTGCCTGGGACCTCAAGTGAGACCCATTTTGTGCCATGACTCAGATCAAACAACTCAGAAAGTGCCATGAGAAGCTCCTCCAACCGTGTGCATGCACCAGGGGCCTTCACAGTTGGCTATGCTGATACCATCTCACTGAGAACTTATACTAGCTAATCGCTGGCCATCGCCCACAGGCCTGCCTGCACAGCCCACATTAGTGGGCCATGCCGAGCCGGAGCTTCAGGACCAACATCTAGAAGAGCACACTGGGCCAGCAGGTGATGTGGAGGCTAAGGCGCTGGATCCTACACCGCTGACCCTGTAGTTTGAGTCCTGGACCTGGCAGCTTGAAAATCACATCAGGGATTCGTGTGTGTTCCCAAAATCCCAAAAGGAGAATGGAAGAGAGGAGACTGTGGCACGGCCATCCCGCTGCGGTGGGGGTCTCTCTCCAGTGAGCACATGTACCCTATGGCAAAAAAAGAGCGAGAGCAAAGCTCCGCTTTAGAAAGCATGTTCTGGCTACACTGGGAGCACTTGCAGGAGGGCTTCCTGTAGGAGGTGGTGCCAAGCAGAGAAAGGGTGTCACGATCTACATGTGGCAGCTGAGGCAGAGACAAGATGGCTTGCTTACCAACCCATAAGCTCAATGTGGTGCAGGAACATTCCCAGCTGAGCCTGGGAACCGAAGCCCCACCTCAGACATCCTGCAGCTTGAAAAACACACCAGGCACGTGTTCATGCTTGGCCAAAATCCTGACAGGAAGATACGCAGCGGGGGTGTGGGCATGACCAGCCTGGTGGGAGGTGCCCTCTGCCCTGGAAAGTGCATGCACACTCGGCGGTGGGGGCAAAGACATTACGTTTTTTTAAAGTTTATTTCCTTCATGAGTGACAGAAAAAGAGGGAAACAAGCACCTGGGTCTCCCTCTGTCACCCGTTTCCCAGCCAGCGAGGATCATGGCCCAGGAGCCTACCGTGTGCAGGTCCAGGGGAGCTGGACCTGAGGTCTTCCACATGGCACTGCGGCGCAGCGTACCAGAACTGGCTGCTAAACAGATGTGTAACACGTACTGTGTTGTCCCCAAAGTTAGTAAGTAATAAAAATAAAAACAACCAAGGAGATACTGGTCTATGAAGAAATAATAGAAAGTTAATAGTAAATTATTATTTTTTAAATTTGCTGTAGGGTGGATGCTCTCACGGTAGAGAGAGAAAGTGAGAAGCACCCCCCACCACGCACAGGGGGAATGACCACCTTGTGATCCCGCGATCCCTTCTCCACTCCTCTCTTGGGATTTTGGGCGCGCACACTTGCCCTGTGTGTTTTACAAGCGAACTGCGGAGTCACCCATGAGCCATCCAGCCGCCTTAGCCACCACCCACCTGGCTGACCCAAACCATGTTTTACTATTAAGAGGAAAATAAAACACAGAAGTTACAAAGGACAATTATCAGGAGGCAGGTAAAAAGAAACAATGCTTTAATGAAAGGCACTCTAGCCGGCAATGCAGGTGTGAACACAGGACACCACTAGCGACTGCCAGCGACTGCGGTGACAGCCCCGTGGTCCTTACAAAACCACGTGTAGAACGTCGGTCAGTGTCGAGACTGGCATCTGCGACGGGGCCTCTGCTCCTCCGCACAACAGCCACAGCCGGAAGGGCCACCACCCGGCCCCCAC